TGAACATACGCCCAAAGGAGGGTTTCTGCACCATATATAGGCAGAGTGCCTGTAGAAGATGATTTTGTGCCCTTTCTACTTTCAGCGGGGGCTGACGAGGGAAAATCGATACCTAGACCTCGAGAAGCTGCTTGCGAAGACGTCCCTTGAGACCCTTGGAGATGTAGCGACTGGGTAGTGGCTTCCGAAAAGCTGGGGGATGGAGACGAGGGACTTGGAGTTCCAGACTCGCTGATAGATTCAAGAGGAAGGGTGTTTGGATGTAAAGTGGAGCCGTGCTCGAGTTCTGCTTGATCCCATTGTATAGATTGTTTACGAGCGTGGGGGTGATTAGATGGGAAAGGTTTATCTGCAGGCATTCTCTGCTTCGCAACCGCTGTAGCCGTCATCAGTGTCTGTTGGGTCTCTACCGTAGGTACACCCACAGGACAGAGTAGTTTCTGACAGTAATTTTAAGACCTCCCCATGGGCTAGAGCTGTTGAGAGCGACTTTGAAGGAGCAAAGCGTTGGCCTTTTGCCTTCACGATGGTCTCGGGAACAGCCCCGGTCCCAATCATCCCTCGTCTCCGAGGAACACTCGAAGGCAAGGGAACGGGTAACTGAGGAGAGCTTGGGGCATACTTGTGGCTGAATGCTCCAGGAGATGTCGGCGGTTTCGCGAGAGGGGCAGAGCTAATCGAATGACCTCTTCGATGCGACCGAGGAACAGTGGAAGGAGCAGTGGAGTTTGTAAAAGTGATTTTGACTCCAACTTCTTCTCCTGCAAAATAACAAGAGGATGAGGGTGCAATGGTGCAGAAACCCTCCTTTGGGCGTATGTTCAACTCTCTGGCCACGTCGAAATCGAGCCAACTGCGGCCGACCCGGATAAGATTTCTGCCGTCCGCTCTCAGCTCAAAAGGGGCGGCCCAATTGGTGGTGGTAGCATGGATCTATACAACTTGAGCCCTAATCCTTCACAAACAAATGAGGGAAGTTGGTCTAATCTCTTTGGCGCTTCCGTTCGGTCACTCGTATCTTCTGGGGCTTCTCCTTCAGCACCATCTTCGTTCTTGTCCTCTTTGCT